ATGTGAAACCGTATGAAATGAAGAAGAGTTATGTAAAGGAGAATATGTAAAAGTTTTTCTGTCTGTTTCATTCCTAAGCCGTAAACACAGACAGTATAAGGTGTGGTTAGGGATGGGAATCAAACCGAAAAATGGGACCAGAAAAAGATGTAATAGATGATCGAGTCTGCTTCTTGCAGAATCGCTCAACGAAATAAGACGTCTACCAGCTGTACAACGAGGACAATGTGCCTTGTTCGTTATATTTTACTTTCCTGCTTGATTTCAGTGATATTCTGCACACACCGCTCTCCTACTACAGGTGTACCGATGAGCATCTCTTCATTACTTATAAGATTATATGAGGGTGCACTAGGCGATTCTCGCACCAGTGATACTTCACTCAAAGCCAAAATTCGCTTTTTTCCTTTCATCAGTGATCATTGTGTACCGGTACTTCACTGTTTATAAAACACTGATTATGATTGAAGCAGTAAATTAAAATTCAAAACAGTAAATTAAAAAAAATTAGTTAGATGTCCTTTCAATACATGGCGGCAAGGAGGCTGTACTGACGATTCCCACTCCTACCCGCATGCATAGTTCGGTCTGTGTTTACAGCTAAGGGATGAAACACACAGAGACTGCATCGAAAAATATCACCTCACTACATTTAAACGATAAAAGACAGTTTGCACCATAAAATATCACCTTACACATGACGTCTACGTACAATCTTGCTGGTCTATTATTCCAGATAACCCTGGAAGAGCTATGGCTTTAGCCCAAAAACTCACCATATTTTTCGCCAAATTTTTTTGTCCTAAAAATATCCATTCGTAGCATGAATGCCGTTGCAAATCCGGTCATAAATGAGTCCACTCCAGCACGATGACAACCTAAACAAGATATGAGGAATGAATCGAACTGATACTGCAGCAGGCATCTTTTCTATTCTAATTTTGCTACTGCACGCAAAATCATGCAAACATCTGTCTGTGTTTACAGCTAAGGGATGAAACAGCGGTGGACCTTTTCCTACACATTCCTTTCCACTTGACCTTTCAATATGGCATACGATTTGGTGCTATGTGAACTGCTCTGTTATCTTTTCCATCATAACTTATTAAACTAATCCCATTCTACGTTAAAAGTTTCGGAGTGTGGCCGTGCCACATTTTTCCGGACTGCCCGCTTGCTTCAGAAATTACGGTTCGGCCTACCAACGACCGCAA